GGTGGAATGCACAGTGCTGAGAAAAGCCTCCTGTGGGAGCTGACCCCTGCGCTAGGGATGGCTTCTCTCTCCCCACCCACTACCCACTTCCAGCCTGAGACAAGAGTGCCAGCGCTTCCTGCCGGTGGCCAGCCTGACAATGCCCTACTGCCTCTTCCAGGGGCCAACTTTCCTTACTCTCTCTTCAAGCTGCCTCATAAGTCTCGTTATCAAATTGCTATGACTTTAGTACTGTTGCTGCCAACAAATATGAGACAGGAATAAATATTTCACTGGCACAAGTTGGCCAACAGCTCAGTCTATGTCACTAAATTTCAACTAGAGATTTGTAGTATGATATTTATTTGCTAGAGCCAGCTAATTCGCCAAGCTGAAGAACTGACCCACTTATCTTTAGGAATTCAGAAGCTGTAATTCTTTGAGACACCCTTGAGCATCCAAGTGGGCAATAGCCCAAGAATAATCTCTACTTCAAAGGAGCCCAGGAAGTCTGACCAATCTGCCTCTGGACCTGTTCTGGACTTCTGGGTCTTCTTTCCCAACAGCCAAAATGGCAAAGCAAAGCACTGGCTCATTTGTTTTAAGTCTTTGGCAAATATATCTTAAAACAGTAATGCCTAAAAGTGTATAATTCAAAGCAATAAATACAATGTTCAAATGTGGTGAGCATGCGTTAGGAAGGAGAGACCAGGAATTAGAAATTCTATAGTTCGGAACAGAGCCAGGTGTTGAGGGTTTAGTTATAATTACAGTAAATGAAAGTTCTACGAAGGGTCAGGAAGACATGGTCTCTTTACCCTGCTCACTATTGTCTGTAATTGACATTACTGAGATACAAATTATGCAACAAATAAAATTCCCCTTTTTAAGGGAGTTGGGGAGGAGGGGAAACCAAGACCATTTTTACTTTCAGAAATTAACTAAAAGGACTCAGAGAACATGGCATAAAGTTGTATTCTAAGCTAAATACTTTAGATTAAGATGTGTTGTAGTGACATAGTAGGCACACAGCCACATCATAAGAGAGGGAGAGAAAAGCAGGTGCAGAGTTTCCTTTCTTTTTCCTTTTCTTCCTTCCTTTATTTTTTTTCTCTTTCTCTTTCCTTTGCCTTTTTTATTTTTTTGAAAATTCCCCTATCCTCTCTCCTCCCCATGAAGAATTACACAGAGCATCTTCTTTCTCCAGCAACAAAAATGCAGCAATATGCACAGCCCCCATAGATATATCCATGTCCTAATTTCTGGAACTTGTGAATGTGACCATATTTGGAAAAGAGTCTTTGTGAAGTAATTAAATATTTCAAGATGAAGAAACCTTCCTGAACACACCAACTTCAAGAAAGCAGGAAAGGATAATTCTCTGTGGACCAGGAGGTGGCAGAGAACATTAGTAACATCTACCATAGTAGACAAAGAAAAGTATCACTTTGCATGCTCTCACCTTCAGTCAAAAAGAGGAGGCAAGCCTTGCCTTTTCTAGCACAATGCAGTGTCCACCACCTGGTAGGTAAAGGTCTACACTGAATCTACCTCAGAAGATAGCCAAGAGTGTCAACTTTAGGTATTTCTTCCTCTTATTGTAGAAGTTGGTTATGCCTCTGAAATGGGCAGAAAAAGAAGGGGACATCAAAGGAAGGAAAAAAGAGAGAGAGAAGGCCAGAGGGGAGAATTAAGGAGGCTGAATTTACTTTGTTTACATCACTCTGTTTCTTTAACTTTCAATAAGCCAGGCCAGTAAAGGTAGCATCCATGTCAAGTGAATGTTCACTGATCACTCACCAGGTATCATGGGACTAGAGACAATTATGACATCCTTCTGTCCTTATGGAATCCAGGATCTAGAGAGAAAAGTAGACTAGGGAAAAAAAGAAAAGAAGAAAAAAGCCCAGTGGATTTAGTGTTAGTTGTGCGGAAAGGGTACCACAGCAGAAGTCTCTCTGGAGGGAAAAAAGTACTTGGACATATAACATATCATCATACTTTTTTAAAAAGAAAACTTCATGAGGTGCTGAGGATCAGACACAGGACCTCACATGTGCTAAGCATGCATTCTAACACTGAGCTATACTGAGCAACAGCCCTATCATTATAACATGTTAAAAAGTGTGTTTTCCTTCCCGTTTAGTATCTTCTTACGTTTACATTTAAATAAGTGTGCATGTTTTGGAATAAAGACCAGAGATGGGGAGTGGGGCTTACTGGCCAAAGAGAAAGTGCCTTACCTTTATTATGTACAATCCTGCCCAATAACCTGAAATTGAACGCAGTGATCATATGTATCCACCCTGGGAAGACAGCCTGATCTGCTGCAAATTCTCTCTTCCAAAGAAACTAACATCTAATTTATGCTTCAGTGAAGAATTCCACTGAAGTAAGAGACTCTGGGAGTCTCTGAGTACTAGAGTTACTGAGCTACTAGAAATGCTCTGCTTCCAGAACCACATAAATGAGACCCTGCTAGACTCAGCTCCTGCACAGCAGAGACACATGTGAAGGCATTTGAAACACACTGTTGGATGTGAACAGCCAGCATCCAGAGGAGACAGAATTCTTTTTTTTTTTTTTTTTTTTTTGGTTTTTCTCCGGTACCAGGAACCAAACTCACGACCTTGCGCTTGCCAGGCAGGCGCTTTTGCCGCTGAGCTAAATCCCCAGCCCCTGAGACAGAATTCTTGTTGCATTTCTAATTGCACAAATGGAGGAAGCCCGATAAGAAAGACCAGGTCTAATGGACTCAAATGGAAAGTGGTGATCACTGCCATTCGCCTTGGGAACTGTGGAGAAAACCTTGCTGTGGGATTTGGACATAGCAGGGCTCTGGCTCTCTGTAATTGCAGAACCCATCAAGTGGGCATGTTTTCCTCTCTGACAGAAGGAGGAGTGGAAGTGCTACACCTTCCCTTGCAAGAGCAGCATGGGGAGGAAACCTCTTTTCAAAAGTTATGGCTACTGCGTCCTCCTAGGAGCTTAGCTTCTAGTGTTTAGCTTATATGAAGATTCTCATGCCCACTTAATTCTTCCAACTGCAAATCCTTTATTATGAAATGCACCCCTTTTCAAAAATATATTTTACTAGGCTTATTAATTTTGCAAAATTGAGTTTCAATGTTTCATACATGCATATAACCTTTCAGTCATGCCCACCCCCCTACTACCCTTACCCTGCCTTACACTTCCCCTTCTCCCCCAAAATGCACTCTTCACATGACTTAGAGGATGCAGCCTACTGTGGGACCAAAAGTTGTGCCTTGTCACCATCATTCAATTGTTCCCTGAAAAAAAAAGTGTTTTCCCCCTCAGTGAAGAAAGTGTGTTGGTGGTAACAGAAAAACAGTTGCTCTGCTTCAGACTTTTCCTCACAACTTGTAGTATTTTCCAGGCAAGCAACTGCAGTCCTCTTTGGCAAGGTCTCTTAGGCAAGGTACAGGACCACTAGGGTGACGGCACTGAGGTTTCTGGAAGGGCAGGTGGCAGGGGTCATGGAGGGCAATGCCCCAGAGCCAGCAGCCAGTGAGACGGAACAAATTACCAGGCGGAAGGGAGAAGTGAGAAGAAAAGGGAAACAACTTAGTGGCATGGCCTGGGGTAGGGGTCAGAAGGCAACAGCAGGGCAGGAAGCAGGGGAAGGGTGTGCGAGTGTGTGTGACTCCAGCAAAACTTCCGAGTCATTTTTTACTTTCTTTAAGTAATTTAAGCCATCTATGAAATACAAAATGTTTGCCCACTCTTACAGATTTTAAACTGTCACGGGTTAAAGACAACAGAAGTTAATCTTTCTCTGAAGTAAGAGGTGTAAGCGGTCCAGGGCCAGTGTGGACATTCCACAGCAGTGGCTCCCAAATGGCACACAAAGCACAACAGGACACACGAATAAGTGTGAAATATTTGAAGAAAACACTGATCTTGACATTTGCCAGACAGTGACAGAACTACTAGCTTGAGGTACTCCGAGTTTAAACCTTAGATCTCTTGATGTTCTCTTCGGTGCTATCATGTTTGCAAAGCTGGGTTGGATGGTTGCTCTTCTGATAAAATGCAAGTAAATGACAGTATTGTTGTCCAGTGTGATCCTAAGGTTTGAGAAGTTATGCAGCGCCCAACATGAACACACATCCCATGGCTAAGAGATACGGCTATTTAAGAATGAAAATCAGTATTTTGCTTAATTTATTCATATTAATTTTCAAATGGTTTCTAAGTCAATATGGTAGAAACACATATTAAATTTTTTGGATACAACTTCTTAAAAATGGAATTTTTATGCTTTACTTTGGCCCGCAGACAATGTGAAAAAATTATATTACAGTCTCACTGTGAAGTGAGACCATCCGGGAACTTCTGCCCCTGGGTAATGGCATGAGAAATCCTGATTTTCTAGATTCTGCTGCTTGGTTTCCCTAGGGGACTCCCTCCTTCCAGATTTACCCCTTTTCCATGTGAAGAGAAGGGACAAAGAGGAAATCCCCTTTCTTTTCACAGACTCAACTTGGAGGGTGGCCTCATCATCACATCTGCTCACAATCCACTGGCCACAAAGGCAGCAGTGGTCACATCTAACGATAAGGAAGGCATGGAAATTCAGGCTGTACCCTAAATGCCCAGAAAGCTATTGGGAATTTTGTTATTGTTCACAAAATGGGAGAGAGGATACAGGGGAGGAATGGAGTTTGCAGCCCCTCTTGCATACCATATAAAGAGAAAGCATTGATTCCCCTACTCTTAATAAGTAGTTGGTGTTTGGAACAAAACTCCTACAAATTGCAAAGTGAGCTGAAGGAAGGCAACAGGCTGGGAGAGCAGAGGAGGCACAAAACAAGGGGCGGCTGCCCTGGCAACGCCAGCAAAGAGCACACGTGGTGCAGAGGAGCATCACTGATAACCACATAACAACAGGACGTTAAGGGCTTTGTTTTTGTTTTTTGCCTTTTAGAAGTTATTGGCAATTTTCAGGCGGGAGAAGATAAAAAGCTTTAATTCACTTTTGGGACACAGCCCTTTGTTCCAGTAGTAGGTACTCTTTGGTCCAAGGAAAGATAATACTTGATTACATCTTTTTCTTGTCTGGGACTTATTATTTAAATACTTTTGATGTGCTCCCTAATCTCTTGTTTATATGCACTTTTTATTTAAAAGCCAATAATTCTCTTCTCTGAGAAGATTCAAAATTATTGAAGCATATTGATTTTATGATAAGGCTGAGGCAAGGCTTCACAGACACAAATGACTCACTATGAGAGCAGAGGTTGACTGGATCAGTGGCTTGGCTGACCCACCAAATTCCGGAGACCCAAGGGATGGTCCCGGTCAACCTGTGAGGCTCTACCTCTGCCATCCGGGGTTGAGAGTGAAAGATTTCGTCAGCAGAAGCGGGCCTGTGCAGGAGAGAAGCAAACTGATTTGAGTGCTCACTTAATTTCTCAGGAGGGTTTCCTTCCTCTACCTTTTGGTGACATCTGCAAGTGCCTATTCATTCATAAGGCCAGCTACACTTCCTTACAACACGTGCTCCCTGCTCCCTCCTGACTCGGCTTACCCTAGCTTTGGTGCTGGCTTCACAAAGAAGCAATGAGAGCAAGCTACACCCCTGTGACCAACTCTGTCCCGTATTTCTCAACATCATCACACGAGGCTGCAAATGTAAATAGCAGCTGGTGAAGGCTTTGGAGGTGGCTTAAAGACATTACAATGTAGGAGAAAATCTTAAAATGTGGCACTAAATTTGGCCATTTCCAGATTCCAAGGGAAGGGCAAACAAAATGAACATTATGCTCCAGTTCCTAATTCTGCTTCTTGTCAGAAAGGAGACCTTAGAGCTGTTTTCCTTTGGGAAAAACATCCTCCATCCTCAGAGGTTAGACTTCCCTTAGACAGCGGAACACATTAGTCTGTGTTATTGTGCCCTGTGCATTGCTGTGGGGAAGGGCACATTCAGCCTAACAGATCCCCAGCCAGGAGGCTCCCCACGGCCCTCGGCCTCTGCTTATGCTCCACTACCTCACTGCTCCTTCCCCTGGCAACCCCACAAGAACCACACCCAGCAATTCTGTCACAGCTGCCACCTACCTCCAGTCCTTTTATTCAAGGTCACAGAGACCCATAGGACAGAGCACCTCTGTGGCTCTCAATCCACGCTGCTCCCCAGCCCCAAGGCTGCTCCAGAGGCACATCTGTGTCTCCTGACGCAGGATTCTGGGCTGCCACCCTCCCTCAGCCCCCATGAAGAAGGCAGGGAGTGTTCCCAGACACACAAATCATGCTAAAACACTTTGACCTTCTTTTTACATTTTATCCACAGAGTGAATGGAACAGGCTTCAGGCGCAAAGTTAAAGGTATGTGCTGTCTCAAAACCTTAAGTCTAAAATAACTCCAAGGCATTTATTTCCACAGGATGGGTCTGCAAAGTCCAGGTTTGGGCTTCTTCCAAGACCACCCATCTGTGAGAGGCTGCACTTGTCTCCCTGCCCTGGTGGTTAATTATGGGAACACACCACACACACACACACACACACACACACACACACACACTTTGCAGTTTGAAAGAAGGGAAACATTCCACTTAAATTCCACAAAATCTACACAGCTCTTTTTTTTTTTTTTGTCTTTTTGAGACAGGGTCTCGCTATGCAGTTCAGGCTGGCCTTGAGCTCACTTTGTAACCCAGTGAACTTACAATGATCTCGCAATGATCCTACTGCCTCAGCCTCCCGATGCTAGGATTACAGGCGTGTGCCACCACGCCCAGCTAAATGCCACAAAATCTATAACAGTTCTTGCACTTCAGTTAAGCAACGTGGGAACAATTTTCTGTTGTTCTTATTTCTGAGCCCAGAACCACATTCCATGGACCTTCAATGCCTAGAATGGGGACTGCTATCAACAGAGTCATGAACAACAAGGTCCTGCGTCCCATTGATCTCACTCCAGTTACACAAAGGCCTAGTTAAATTTTTCTTGCCGTGTCAGGTCCCATTTTTAGCTTAGGTGTCCTCCTGTATCAGTTCCCAAAAACACATTGAGTACTCTATAGATTTTTGATTCCTCCTGACCCCGAGTAACTCCAACCACTTCAGGGAAATTCTCTTTCAAAACTGTGACCCCCACAACCCAGAAACAACCTCCTCCAGACCTGAGGAACCACTGTGGGCTTGACAGTGGCTGGGAAAGGCTCTGCTTTGGATTGTCCAAGCCACGGTAGATTTAGCAACGATGTCAAACTCTGGCAGCAGCACAGCTGTAGCAGAAGTCATCTGAAAGACTGGAGCTTCCAGCAAGGTCGGAAGATCTAGAACTGACCCTTAACTCTGAGTAAGCCCCTCTTAGTCTCCAGGCCAAACACCAGAAAGGGCTCCATAAAGAAGGAAAGGCATGTAAACCTTCCTAAGGCAGACATGTGGATTTTCAAGTGGCACATGCCGAGACAGCCCATGGAACTGCATTATGTACATACCCCACTGGGCAAGTGGGACACATGGTTCTACATAACCTTTCATTCCTGAAAAGAATGTGCGAGGTGGTAGGTACTATTTTGTTCCTATTTTATACATGAGGAAACTAAGCTCTGGTAAACTACCTTTCCAATACCACATAGCTAGTAAGTGTGAAACAGGCCCTGGGCTCAGGTTTGCTGGCCTCAAAGTCCTTGTTCCTTGTTCCACGGTTCTGCACAGCTGTAAACAGTCATGGACTCCATCACATCTCACATTCGCCATGTGGCAAGCCCTGGATCGTGCTGACTCTGAGCTCATCCTGTACAGAGGACACAGGCTAGATCTGGCTACTGAAATGAGGCACAAGTAGACGTTCAATGTTTTTATTCATTAAGTGTTTATCAAATACCTACTGATATAGCAGTACTCAGAGTACTGCTCAGCTTTTAGGAGAAAAGAAATCTTAACACTTGGGTGAGATGAATATGTAATGGTGAAGAATGCAAGGCAGTCTATAGTGGAGAACTAAGTTGTATAGTACTGACTAATTTTATAGTAGCTCAGCAAGCAGATGAGTACAGGTTCTACTGACACAGGGAAGGCTTTATAAAGGGACTTGAACCAGACTCTCAGGAATGAGGAAGATTTGGGTAGGAGAAGAGATTTAAATACACTCATAAACCCCTCTCCAGAAACCAATTATTGTGAACCAATTTCTTTCAAAGCTAGTGATAATGTCATATGAATAGTTTTCATTTTTTTTCAAATCATACAGATTCTATATTTTGAAAAAAATGACATGAATACAAAATTTTAGAAACATGTTATCACTGAGACTCTAATATTGTGTCACGACGTTTTGTAGTTGATGCTCATGGGATGTCTTAGAATTTCTAAGAGTGTTCTTAGCTGGCCACAAATAATTTGTTTAGGATATGGGCATCTGCTTCTGTCTGAGAGGCTTCTAGAAAGATAATAAAGGGGAAGAGATCAAAATGCCCAGTTCTAGAAGCCTACACTAATTCCCAATTTTTTAACAGGATGAAAGGAAACCTTTACACTGGAAGGTCAAATTTCACCCATGAACTACAAATGTCTTCACATCTGATACACTGGGGGCAATTGTTGCTACACTGCAACAATTAACTGAACAGAGACAGTTCAACAAAACAGCCTCGACCCAGGCAGAGGACTTTGGTACCCAGGGTGGCTGGAGGAAGGTGCCACCTGGACAGGGCACTAGGCAAGTGATCAACGGCCAGCAAGCCTCACTAGCCTCTGCTGCAGTTGCTGAAGGGAAATCGCCTTTTGCTGGTTGCTGGTTGATGATAAACACAGAGCTGCAGTGCCTCCAGAACAAGGGAAGAAGGAAATCTTAGGGGCAGGCGGGAGCAGTCTCACAGGGAAAAGCTGAGCCTAGGGAAATGTCCCATGAGAGCTCCAGACGTCTATCCTCATTCACTCCTAAGTGAAACTCAGGTGTGGTCATGGCGGGGGCGGGGGGGCATCCTTTTTAACATTGTTTTTGGAATCCATAACCCTAGAGCAATAGCAATTCCAGCTAAATTCCTAAAATACTCATTCTTTTTCTAGACCATTTCTTCCTAACTTAGCCCTGCCTCCACCTCAAATTTCTTCCTTTTTCTAATCTTTCCCACACCGTGGAACCAGCTTAATCTTCCTAAATATAACTCGGCATGCAACTATATTTATTCAGGATTTGTTCATGTTACTTCTGCACACAGAGTAGACAAAGAAGAGGACCAAGGCACATGCCTGTCATGGAATTCAAAGGTGCAGCTCAGCTTGACCAAAAAGACCCCTCAGTCCCATCCCCTACCAGCTCCTGAAGGGCCCTCTGCTTCCCTGGAGCAGCTGCCAGCTTTTACCCCTTCTCTCTGCCTTTCTAACTCCTAAGATTCCTCAGGATCATGGTCGGTCCTACCTCGTCCAGTGGACACACTTGCACTTCCCATCCTTGGGGAATCCCTGCCTGAGATTCACACCACTTATAGCAGTCATTGCTCACTTAGAAGTTTCCCCAAAGCAAAGGCAAAAATTCCTAAGCTAGGTCCTGCTGTGATACATGAAGTTGATTTTTTAATTTATCCAAGAAATAGATCACCAATTGTTTCCATCCTGGCAAGTGTGTCTCTGCTTGTGACTTCTATGCCCTCAGAGATTGTGCTTTATTCTTCTTAGACTTGTCTCTGACAGAATGATGCTTAGTATGCTTTGGATGAATGTTTTTAGGAAAAAGGAAAGAAGTAGTCATTTTTTCTATTTGCACTTGTAACTTACAGACAAATGTAGTTATACACACTTGCAAAGAACCACGGAAACTACGTAAATTGGCTTGAATTCTTACCATACTTTAAAAAATATATTTTCTAGTCTTTAGCTAAATAGAAGGTACGTGTTTTATTTATACATGGAATGAATAAAATAATTTAAAGCTAGAACTGCCTGGCTCCTAAGAAGCTTAAAATAATGAAAATGAACCATAAAATTTTAAAAACAAAGTTTCTAGCAAAAAATGAGAGGAGAGGGGAGTTTCCTTCAAATTCTAACAGTCTGCCTCTTTCATAATCCACACATTCCCTAATTTTTTTTTAAAGTATCATCAAAACATAGCTTTCAGAGTGTGGAGGTGTTCCTCAGTGGTAGGGAACTTGCTTAGCATCTGCAAGTCCCTGGATTCTACCCTCAACACTGCAAAAAAGCAAAACAAAACAAAAATAAAGCCACACCTTTCAAGCCATTCCTCTAAATGTGACAGTCCCACACAACTAGTTATAAAATACAACGCAAATCTGAGCTTGATAAGCGAAAATGACAAAGGCTAATTAATACTTAAGGCTGACCTTTGCAAAGCTGTTTTGTAAAAGATTTTATTTTCTTGATCAGCTTTAAAATCCCCATCAAGCCAATGCCTAACTCAGGACTGTTTCCCTCTCCCTCCCTCTCTTCTCCTCCCTCTTTGTCTCTCTCTTCCAAAAATCTCTTCAAATGTTTCAGTCATAGTAACCTGAGCCAGGCTGTATGGACTCATTAAATGCGTCTGTATGTGAACTAACAAAAAGCATTACTAAACGCACCTATTTGGTACATCTGGCAAATGCAAATCTTGGTCCTAAGGAAACTATATTTCTTTCATTCAGTTCCTACCTTTAGAAATTGCTACTTGTTTTTCAAGAGAAAATTTCCTTGAAAGGGAGGAAAATGCACTTCTTAATATTCCTCAGGCCAGCCACTCCCTCCCAGGGCCTTGCCAGGCCAGGTCTCCTGGGAGCACAGGAAGATTCTTTCCCATACTTGATTAACATCCTTTTCAGTACTTTCAGTGGCTGAATGCTGTTTTCTCCGAAGAGCCTCACGTGTGTCACTTCCTCTGGATTCCTACCTGTCTAGATCCTCACATCACCTTCAACCTGGGTGAGGACAGGAAGCTTGAATGAACCTACAGTCTCACCAACTCCAAGTGAACAAGAAACTACATAAATGGAGGGAATAAAGGAAATGTATACTTATTCAAGTAAATAACTGAATTGGCCCCTCGTTCTATATTCACTTTCTCCTCTATTTAACAACAAATTGTAATATAATTATTAGCTAAAATATATCTGTTAGGAATTATAGAAAAGACACATGATGTGGTTCTTGGCATTGATATGTTTTTGGTCTAGGTAGAAAGGAAAGATTAAAAACCTTTGAATAATTGGCTAGTGAATTCCAGGCATGGTGACACATAGCTGTAATCCCAGCACCTTGGGACGCTGAGCCAGAAGGACTGTAAGTTCAAGTTCCATCTGTATTGCTTTGTGAGACCCTGCCTAAAAATAAAAACAAATTTTAAAAGGTGATGGGAATGTAGTGCAGTGGTCGAGTGCCCCTGATTTTGACAGCCAGTGCCAAAAAAGGGCAGTAATTAAGTTCTTCCATGACCTGCTAAGTGAACTAGGACATTACACTTACATGTGGATGTAAGTACATATGGGGCAACAGAAGACATGGAAAGAAAAGGGACAAAGTAGAAAGTCCCCACTGATGTTAATCACTGCTGCCTCCCCATACCACCTAGCATTGTGCACAGAAGGCTTCTTAATCAAGAATGTTTGGTTGCAAGACATAGAACCCTCTCAAGCTCACAGAATTTATTCTAAGGATCCAACAGCATCTTTCAGGAGCAGAAAAGGAAGAACTGCTGGCCCAAGTTCAATGTGCTGTTAGGAGGGGGGCCCGATGGAAGAGGCGAGTCACTGGGGGCGTGACTTAGAGTGGTGTATTTTGTCCCTGGTTTTTCTCTCAGTCTCTCTGTCTCTATCTCTCTCCCTCTCTCACAGTGTGTGTGTGTGTGTGTGTGTGTGTGTGCGCACGCACACACGCACAAGCACACATACTCTTCCTGCTGCTGCCGTGGGTTGAACAGCATTCCTATACCATGCCCTTCTACCATGCTGCCTTTGAGTCAGTTATGCTCTAAGGACCAAAGCTGTGGGCTGAAATAACCCTCACCTTCTTTAAGTGGTGGATGTTGGGTATTTTGTCCTCATGATGGGAAAGTAACTAATAGAACCTGTCACCATCTCTCCCAGGGACAGTGGGATCACTTAACACTGCTCTGGATTCACACTGGGGTCTCTGAACAGCAGGGCAAACTGGCTCTCTATGACAGTAGCTCTTACTTCTCAGTCTTTATGACTTTGGGCTGACTGTGGCTGCCTGTTCCGCAGTGTACAATTGGGCTCCTCATGGGCTGATCAGCTGTTCCCTTTGAGACAGGGTTCCTAGGGTCATGGTGCCTCTGCTGCTGGACTGTGAGTGGGCAGGGTCTCAGGAAAGGTTCCGGGCATGGTTTGAGGACAAGGAGGAAGTGACTACATCTCCAGCACAGAAGGCACTCAGATCTTAGCTTCTGTCCTTGTCTTTACAAAGGGAGAATGCCTTTCTTTAAAGAAAGGTTTAATTCTCCTCCCTTCTCCAACGGTAGCTACCCTGACATATGGGAAGTAAAAATGTTTGTGAGGGATCACATTGCACTTGGCATGTTTATGTGAGAAGAATATTGAGACATCAGACTTGATTCATGGGCTTTGGTGGAAGAGTTGTGAGTCATGGAACTCACCTGACATCCAGAAATAGTGCACTGCTTTGCCCAGGGTCTTCCCAGCTCTAGGACAAGCCCTTCCTGGGGAGTAAGCAGTACAGATGGGAGGGAGAGCTGGCGCAGAGCCTGGGAGAGACAGAGCATCTCTGGGCATCATGAACAACTTGCTGTATTCTTCTTGCTTTGTGTCAAGCTTGGACCTGGTTCAGCTCTTCAGTGTGGACTCATAAATCTTAAGCCTCCCAACAACCACAAGCAATATTACAGCCACTTCCTCATTTCCTGCACACACCAACCAGAACAGTGGGGAGGGAAGAGGGGAGGAAATGACTGTGTGTCACTTTGCCCCCTTCCTGCTGGCCTTTACCAAGTTTCAGCACCTCCCCCCAGTTCCACATACCTTCAAGAGGTCCGTGCCCACAGCTTTGATTGGATCCCATCCCTCCATTTGTGTTAGTGCCTGAGTCTCTTCTCCTGAGTTGCTTTGTTCTGCCTGATACTGTATAACTGAAAGAATAACAGAGATGTCAGTTAGGGTTTGCTGGAGGAACAGATTTAATATAAAAAATATGATTATGTAAAGGATTTACTAGAGTGGCTTGCAAGGGTCACCTAAAGAATTGGGGGCAGAAGAATTCCACATGGCCATCTGTACGTTGGAAGGCTAAAGGGTCCAGTCAATGGGTCAAAAACTCAGAGTTTACTGTGGAGTCTGGTGCAAGTCCATGTTGGAAGGCGAAAGAATCTGCAGTAGAAGGCTGAGGAGTCTGTATTGGAAGCCTGGAGACAACCATCTAAAGGCAATGGTAAATGCCGGAGCTCCTTCCAAAAAGAAAAGGGAAGACTTCCTCCTTCTTTCCCTTTTTATTCCACCCAGGCTACAGGCATATTGGTTGGTATCACCCATATGCAGGGTGGGTCTTCCCTCCTCAATTCCAAGCCTACAAGTCAGTTATCCATAGACACACTCAGAGCTTTACTAATCTGTTAGGCGGTTTTCACTCAAGGCAATCTGACATATCACAATTTTGATAACTTACACATACTAATCCTAGCTCTACCATGAACTAGGTAGAGTGATGCTTGTGAACAATTTGCTTGTGGACAAGTTGCTTACCCACTGTGGGCTTCAACTTATTCCCCCAATAAAAATAAGCCCTTTGTGGAAAGCAAAACTCCTAGACCAAGGATCCTGCTCAGTACCCCAGGAGATTTCACTCACCAGGGATCACGCAGTCTGATGGTTTATCCTAATAGCTGCTGAAGCAGTAAAGGTGGAGGAAACGGGATATTTTAGCACATATTCATAAAGCATCTCTGTAGTTCTCATCTTCATACTCCTATAACATTTCTTCATAACACAGGTTTCCTAATCTCTCATTTTGCAAGTGGGAAACCCTTCCTAAGAGAATAAAGATAACTGTGGATTTGGTAGTTTTGTTTGTGTATGTCCATTGCAGAATTGACTACTAGGCACTAGTGACAAGGTTCTTCTCATCTTGGCAGAAGGAGGACAACTTTCTTTTCTTCATGGGAAGTCTTATGGCTCGCTTTGATTAAAAGACTCAGTCCTTTCTGTGCCTGTGTTTCTCAAGTGCTTTCACCTCAGAACAACCACTATAGTTAACTGACATCTTTAGGGGTGGTGTATCCTTCATTCCTTCACTCAGACACTCATTGGGGCTGCCTGGACACTTCTTTCTTTACTGTGTGGTGGTTTTAGGGGAAGCTGGACTCCTCTTGCAACTCCAAAGGCATGTGTCCCAGTGGAGCCAGAACATCCCTCTCTGACCTAGCCTCAGAAGTTACACAGTGCCTCCTTCCGTATTGGAAGCCTGGAGCTTCAATATTCTTCACCACATTCTGTTTATCAAGCACTCACAAGGTTGGAAGTGGTGTCAGCAGGTGCTGGAGGTGAAAGTAGGACTAACAGTCTTGTTGTGGCCATTTTTACAACACTATAATCTACTCTGTTTAAAATTCTTCTGAGCCTGGCCCTGGCCTCTGGAAGGGTCAAACTGATCTTGACTAACATCTAAAACCTCATCTGGTACCAGAGTGGCCCCTGAAATGGATTGAATATCTTGCTAGAGATTTCATACTTGAACACTGGCACAACCAATCCCTCACCACTACATAAATGGCAGCCGGAGTCATCTCAGACCCTATTCATTCTTATTTCCTAAAATCTGTCACCCCCTTCCATCCCATTTGCATACCTGCTTCATTAATTCCAGCTTTAAATCACTTGTGGTTTGTTCTCAGTTGCAAAGAGTGCTAATTATCCTTATATCCATTTTCTCATTTCTCCATGTCAAAAATCTCCTATTTTTAGGTACACCTCCTATCCCATGCATAAAGACTTCACTTTCCAGCCTCCTTTGCTAATAGAGGTGGTTCTAATGCTAGGTTCTGACTAAAGCATGCATGGTGGTTGTAAATCACAACCCCAGTATCCTTCAGTGGTCCTGCTATTGGGAAGTAAAGATTACATCGCTGAACCCGAATACAGGTCTTGTGACTACTTGGCCAAAAGTAATTTCTAAGTCCACACTGGACCTAAATCTTAGGAAGTGGAGCACTTCCATTTTTTTTTTTTTTTTTCCGGTACCGGGAACTGAACTCACGACCTTGCGCTTGCCGGGCAGGCGCTGTGCCGCTGAGCTAAATCCCCAGCCCCCCACTTCCACTTTTTATCTCTTCCTGAAGCCCCTCCACACCAGTTACCAAACTGAGAGGAAGCCAAGCAGCCACTTGCAGCAGTTGCAAGTCAGTGTTTCCAACCACAGCCTCATGAGGCCCCAGATGACAGCCAGCTTCTACCCTCAAGCGTGTGGGTGACCAAGACTGTGTATGGTTCCACACCCCAGCAGTTGAGGCCCCACAGCCATCAGGCTACAAAGCAGATGCAGTAGGGAGCAGAGTGAGTTGACCTTACCATGCCCAGTCTGCATTGCAGACACATGAGAAAAACACAACTGTGATTGTGTTCAATCACTGAATTTGGGTGGCTTGTTGTCCAGCCAGTGATCATTGGAATAATTTGAAGTGGCTAAGGTTGCTGCTCTGGATGGCAGACTTCAGGCCCACTTACCGTCATCTCTTATTTTCATCATCAACTGCTACAAGTGGCTGCTTGGCTTCCTCTCAGTATGGTAACTGGTGTGGAGGGGCTTCAGGAAGAGATAAAAAGTGGAAGTGCTCCACTTCCTAAGATTTAGGTCCAGTGTAGACTTAGAAATCACTTTTGGCCAAGTAGACACAGGACCTGTATTCAAGTTCAGCGATGTAATCTTTACTTCCCAATAGCAGGACCACTGAAGGATGCTGGGGTTGTGATTTACAACCACCATGCATGCTTTAGTCAGAACCTAGCATTAGAACCACCTCTACTGGCAAAGGAAAGAATAAAAATCTTGCTGTTGAAGCTGCTCCTTTGTCTGTCATTCATACCCGAACTTGGTCTCATTCACTACAGCAGTCTCTTACCTGCTCTTCCATGACTGGTCTTACTCAGGCCCAGTCCTACCTCATGTAATCTTTAGAAAACTGGGCTTTGCATGACCTCCTTGATGCTCTGTGTTCTGTGGTTCCTCCCACTTCTAAAAGAGTTTAGTCTCAGTTATTTACCCTGACACCCACAGGCCATCAGCATCTGGCTCTACCTACCTCGTCTCCTCGGTCTCTTCTGCTTCTTCCATGAGCATTTCCTAAACTGCAGTATTTGTACCCCTAGAGGCATGGTCAGAGTGTTAGAGATACTCAAAGTCTTCAGAAAAACAAACTACCTCTTTCTAGAGTATGAACTTTACAAGTAGTAGGAGAAAGGGTTTTAAGATTTTTTTCTTGATGAGAATTTCAATTTTTTATAAATCACTATAAGCATCACTATGTTGTAAAATAGAGTGCAACACTGATATACATGTTAAAGATAAAATATGAGGTCATTTCTTGCTGGTGGGAGGCCAGTTTACCCCAGGCTACAGGTACAAAGGTGGGTCTCTTATGTAGGTTCACAGTACCTAGTAGTAGTACTGTGGGATAAACTTTGAGATGCACACATTACCTATAAATGCATTGAGCTATGTGGTGATCAGCACAGTCAAGAGTAATTTCAGGGGCAAGACAGGAGGAATTAGACAGTTAATTTCTGTGATTCCAGAGGCCCCTGACTGGTGATTGTGAGGTGCCCTTAGCCCTTCCTTCATGCCTATGTACAGGTCTTTGACTTTCCTTTCTATTGTCACAAAATGGCTGTCGTAACTCCAGAAATCAAGTCCCAAGGCAGTTAAAAAACAAAAAAAGGATAAATTAATAGTCTCACATTCTGCTTTTATTAGGCAAAGTATGTTTTTTATAAGGCAAAGTTATGCTTCTCCAAGCTTCTCAGAGACCTTTAATGGCCAGGGCATTTACATGGTCATGTCTAGGTAAAAAGGAGGCTCTCACCATGAGTAAATCAATCACCTAGGGTTGAGCAGTCTTCTTCCCCTATTTCAAACAACAACAATGACAAAAGGATTCCTCAGTGGAGAGGAAGGGGACTAGACCTTGGGGAGACATGTACCAGTGACCACAACAGTGTCTTTCCTTTCTGCCAGCTTGGCTTTCTGGTTGACCCTCCCTTTGTTTGTTGGGGGCCAACAAACAATTCCTTATCTTCTGTGTGGTAAGAGAAACTGGCAATGCGCAGCACACACAGTCTCCCCACGGCCCCAACCACACACGTGCTCTCCGTGGCATGGCCTCTTGCCAGCTGAGAGTCAGCACGGTCACAGGCTGAAGGCACAGCCCTGCCTGCCCAGCACAGAACTCAGCTCAGAGAGTGGTAAAAGCAACTTGCCATCTGGACACCAAACGCAACTCCATTCACCCCAAGAGAAAAAAGGAAGTTCTATAAAGGCAACTCTCAGGACACAGCTCCCAAATATTCAGAAAATGTGAAGCTCTCCACCTAATCCAACAACTAGACATCAGTGAACCCCTACTTAAGCATGATTTCTTGGGATTTTTGTTCTGATGTTAGAACCAAGCAGTTTTTTCCATGCTCCAAATACTTGTCCAGACAAATGTGCTTAGGGCAACAAGGAGCCCTTGACAGTGGCAAAGCATCTAGAATTTAAACACGCTTTATTTGCCTACAGGCACATTTTTAGAAGACTCGGCCCTGCCGGCTTGCAGCCTCCTTGGGGCAGCTACAGCTTCCTGGCTGCTCTGACATCACACCCCAGAGACAGGGAGGGGCCCTGGCTCCTCTCCAGGGCTACCCTATGCCTGCCCACCCTTGGGTGTACAGAAAGTCACAAATGGGGACAAAGAGAGAAAAGAGAGACCTGAACTTGAGAAGCAAAACACAAGATGCCTCCTCCCACCCAGACCTCACAAAGGAGTAACAAGAAAGACCCAAGGGGCCCAAGGTCTGATGTACCAAGGATGTTAGCTGCCAGGAGCGCATTTCTGAATCATTTCTTAACAATTGGCAAGGAGGCGCGGATGCTTAAAACTGC